AGTCTCCAGAGAAGGAGACCCCACCACCTCTCTGGGCAGCCTGTTCCAGGGCTCTGTCACCCTCACAGGGAAGAAGGATTTCCTCATGTTCAGGCTGAACCTTCTGTTTTCCAGTCTATGGCGCTTGCCCCTAGTCCTGTCACTGGACACCACTGAGAAGAGCCTGGACCCATCTTCCTGACACCCACCCTTTAGATATTGATAAGCACTGATAAGATCCCCCTCAGCCTCCTCTTCTCCAAGTCAAACAGCCCCAGCTCTCTCAGCCTTTCCTCCTATGGAAGGTGCTCCAGGCCCTTCATCATCTCAGTGGCCCTGTGCTGGACCCTCTCCAGTAGTTCCTTGTCCTTCTTGAACTGAGGAGCCCAGAACTGGACACAGTACCCCAGGTGTGGCCTCACCAGCGCAGAGTAGAGGGGGAGGGATTCGGTCTTAAATATACTTTAAAACATACACCCTACTTTGTGGGGCCTTCAAAACAATGCTTCAGATAGAAAAACAAGGTATATATGAGAATAGACGTTGACCATCACTTCCACAGCCAGCTGCTCACTAAAAATGGGTATTTTCAGATTCCCTCAAGCTATTATTTTTGAAATTTAGAGTAGGAGGCGTAAAGATTTATGCCTTAAAGTCTTAGATCCTTCCACAAAATTGCTATCTCTTTGTTCTCTTTAAATTTCAGTAACAAATTAAATGATTATACCCTTAGGGAAAAGCAAAAACATTTAATAAAGGGAAACTTAAACAGCCTGACTCAACTGGCTACGCAACTATTCAGAAGCAATAATAAAAAAATACATTTTTACCATCAGAATCACCAAAAGGAGATTTAAAAAAGTGAGCAGACATGTCTTAGTTCTGCTCAACAAAATAATTATTTTTTTTATTTTTAAACTATTTAATAAGAATCTGGAATGTCACATCTGCCCACCGTGAGAAACTAGATACTCTACCGACAGGCCTAAAGCCAGACTATGCCAATTTAACCATTTAAATACTAATTGCTAAATGGAACAAGCTGCTGTTACTTTTATATAGGGGGAAGGGGGGAGGGAAGCAAACAAAACTTCCAGGAAGTCGTGCGCTGTAGCAATGGGCAAGAACGGGGAAAAAAACCTGCAAAGACTGAAATCTCTAGAAAACAGCTGCGATTTCAGGTGTCAAGGACAGCTGAATAGGTTGGTTATAGAAAGGGCCCTCAACACCACCGATCCTGTCACCCTGTGACCAGCTCGCAGGCTGTTCAACCAGCAATTTGGGCCTTTTTCCTCATGGTGGCTGGTTCGGCCCCCGTTACTGCAAAGACCGGTTCTCAGGGTCTGCCCAACATGTGCAGCTGTAAAGGCGAGCCTTTCAAGACCCAGAGATCCCATAAAACAGTTCTGAGGCGGTCATTTTCCTGTAAAATACACCAGGCCTTTGCTTCCTAGTCTTTCCCATCTATCTGGCCCAAATACACGAAAAATTCCATCGGGATTGTTTCTTCACTGTAGTAGGAAATCAGAGTGAGTGGCTAACGGGGCAACAGGTAAGCGGCAGAATGCATTACAAGAGAACAGTTCTATGCATCTGTGTTCGTCCTGTGAAGCAAATTTAAATCCAAGTATCCAGTTGGTAGTTTAAAACACTGATTTGAATTAAAATTTTAAAATATGTTTGTATTTTGCTGAATGTTATGTGCAGCGTTACCATTTTCTAAGGAAAATTACCACAGAGTTAAACACAAAGCTGTTGAGGTAGTGAGGGGGAAGAAGAGGCATTTTACTACTGCCGCTGAAATTATACATCTAGATCTATATATATAATATACAGATGGTCAAAAAAACTGCAACACTTTGGGGGGCGTCGTGTGAACTCTGTAATAACTTCTCCCTCAATAAAGATTCCTTTTGTTTCATAGAATTCAAATGTAGAATCAGCTTATTTAAAATCAGTTGTAAATGTCCACTATAAAAATGCAGTTATATGCCTAACTCAGATGTATCTCAAATTTCTAAAAAGCTCAGGGTCTCTGAAGTAGGGCAGAAAAAAGGCAAGGGACATTCTGAACTTCAGAACTAACAATGATGATATTTGGACTGTTAACAGAAGAGAAAAATCTCATTTTGCCCTACCAGATTTACTAAGGAAACGATGATTTAGAAGCTTAAAGTGGGAGAACAATAGATTCTCCATAAACTGCCATCTCCTGCTCAATCACCTCGTCGTGCATAGCTCTAGTTCTTTAAAGATGAGGAAAAAAACCCGTAGTAACAGACTGCGGAAACACTGAAGCTGTAATAATTCTGCAAGGGGCTCCAGGACTAAAGCACAATTCCAGATATGTTGGAAATGTAGGTGTTTCATTTTAAAATGCCCAACGTCCAATACATCAACACTTTTATTGCATCCAAAACATCAAACTTCCTCCTCGCATTACGTACCACTCACAGCCACCCAAACGGGGTCTGGATGCCGTCTCCGTCTTTGTTACGTCAGCAGAGCTGTTCACAGGATAACGACACCACCAAACGATACCCCCTCAGGCATACGGTGGCAGCAAACCCCCGCGCAGTAGTCCGTGTGAAAGGTATGAAGATTATGAAGCAAACTGCTCGTTTTATGTTTCAGTCAGGACTAGATACCAACACTGAACGTGTATGGAGAATATGGAGCTTGAAGTGATTTGGAAAAAAATAATTTCATCTGGTAGTGTTCAACATTTCACGGTTGGTCATCTTTTTGGTTGTTTTTTTTTTAAAAAAGGAACAGTTCTCATGACTGCCGTACAGAGAGGAGACAGGTTTGTGACCATCTCACAAAACATTTCCAGATTTCACGCCCCGATCGTACCACTTCACACACTACTGCACTCCGATTCTCTGGACTATGGACAAAAATTATCTTCTCTTCTGATACTGTGGTGTTGTTTAAGCTCTATTTTGTAAGCTTCCAAAATATGTCCTGTTTATGACTGAAATTTGATAAATGAGCAGAGTAACCTTCTCATCCCGTATCCTCTTGTCATCGTACACTCAAATGAGGCCTAATCAAAGTAACAATCTATAATGTGCAAAATATTAATTCCAGACAAAACAGTGACGATTTCAGTATGGGAGCAGAATTCCCTCCAAAGGCTCCATTTGAGCCAGGCTAGAAAGAGCTTTTTGTCCGAAACACGTCTCTTTACCTGAGCATCCAGAGGCACGTTATAAACCTCGGCATCCAGCAGAACAGTGCAGGCACTGAATGGTAGTGTTTGATTAGCTAGCGTTCTTGCGGCTCGGTAATGAACACGGAGAACTTCTTGCTCGTTAGAAACGATAAGCTTTTCCTAATTAAGACATCAACACATAAATATACAATTGGTAAATTAAGCCTTTCAGTTTGATTCATAAAAATGACCATTCATTTAACGCTTGAACAGTGTGAGAAATAGGTTGGTGGAGGGAGGAGCAGTTGTTCGTCTACTCAAATCCAAAATTTCAATTTAATCATGTTCCCTCAATGTCAGAACTGAAAACCCCTTCTCCCCCTCACCCACTGTTGGCTGAATGTCACGCCCCGATTTTCCACTTCGTGCTACCGAGGCAAGTTCTAGGTAAGGAAGGTGAAAGATGAAAGGTGTGAGGAGCGTAGGGTTGGGATATAGGTTTGTGCATCTCGACTCTATGAAGATTTCTGTCACTTGCTTGTCATGCCAGACACAATGGCCAAGCAAACTGAGGCAGAAATATAATTTGCAGGATAATTTAAGGACTTTTTTCTTCTTAAACAACATGCAGAAACTCCATGAATTCATAGGTGAACAAAGATTCTTTCCAGAGCTGAGAGAAGAAAATATAGCTCACTTGGCCAAACTTGACTCGCATCAAGTTGTTGTATAAAGTGGATTTGATTTGAAGAACAAGGCTATTTGAGCAAAGTAACTGAAATTACGCAGAATTTTATGACATAAAAGAATGTATGCGTGTTTACTGCTCTGCAACACAACATCTCTAATTTTTATCAACATAAAAGGAGGTGGATTATAAAACTCAGAAAAAGCAGCATCTTTCCTTTGGTTACAACTAATTTCTTTTCAGTCAGAACTTGAACCATGTTTACATTCTTTGTGCTTGTTATGGTATACCTAGCATTGCATTGAAACACCAAATTCAAGTAAAAACCCTCCCTCAACTGGTTTGTTAAGCCACATTGAAATCAACAATAAAATAACTACCACACTGGGTTTTAATGAGCCAGCTGCTTGTGTAACTGAGCAGAAGTCCTTAGGATACATCCTAGGTGAGAAAGAGGCCCACAAGCAATCTGGCTCACGATACTCACAAGGCATCTCTATCTAGGCTGCCAAAGAAAAAGATTTGGGCAACCTAAAAATGAAGAATACTCTTAAACCAGCAATATTTTCTCAATTTCTGTGTTTAAATTCAGTGAAGCCTACAGATATTGTTCTAACATAATTGTAGGTGGGTTTTTCAAGCAGAATACTGCAAATAATGTTTTAGTCTTAGAGACATGTGCCTTCTGCTAAGACAGATTTTAGTCTTGCTTCAACTCTTTTAACTCGGTCAATTTGGTTCTGAAAGTCTACAACCATTATTAGTTTCCAAAACTAGAGTCTGCAGCTTCCTTCCCACTCTCCACTGCCCCTGGGAAAAATCTGGGCTGCATCTTAGAGCAATTAACAGGAAAAAGCTGCTATCTTACTGACTTAAGTGTTCTGCTAACAGTTGTCCAAACCATTTTTTTTTAATTTACAAGTTTCTCCAAGTCATAAATTTGGATAGAAGGCAGATTACTTCTAAAGCATTGTTAAACTGAGAAAATTATGGTCTGTCCATTGAAAAAAAGAAAAAAAATCCCCTAAAGCTTAAAGTTGGGAAATTAAAAAAAAACAAAACCAAAAAACCCACAAAGTACGTTAGTCTTACCCTCTCAATACTGTGCTGTAAACGCAGTTTCATTCTCACAACCTCCTGTTGTTTAAATAGTTCCTTAAGCGGGTCCGAAAGTGAGGGAGGTGGTGTAATCTGTGGAAAAAGTTTTATAAATGATATAGTGAATACCTATTTAACATAAATGTTTAACGTTGCCTTTTTGATCTGAGCATTTATTTAAAAAAAAAAACAAACACCATAACCAAAGTATTTTTTTTAGGGAAAATCCCAAGAGTTTTGTACATTCCATTAATTATGACACTTCAATCCATTTGCAATGAAAGGTTTTAAGGATTCTTTACTATGAAGTTAATAAATCCAACTGAAATGGCACTTCAAACCTTTTTAGTACTTTTAACCAGTCATCGTCAGCAAGCCATGGCTGTTCTTTGCAAGGGTGATGCATTAGAAGATAGTGAAAATACAACCTGCTTTCAATTTTAGACTCTCTGAAGCACAGCTGTTAAAAACTGAGAAGTTCAAAACTGCCTAGCCAAATACAAGAGCAAAGTAAGAGAAATACTGCTAAAAAAATAAGTAACATGGTTTATGTATACAATGTCACTGGCATTTTATATGGCACAGATAACCAACCATATTCCTAATCAAGCAGAACACAGGCAAGCACAAAAAGTACGCTAGAGCCTCAGGCAGTGGCTTGGAAAAATGTTTCCTCCCGTCAGTTATTCAAGTAAGTTTTTTAAAAGCTTATGCTTAAAAAAAAATAATTCAGAAATCAAAACAGACTGGAGTGAGCTATCAGCACTGTTACTGATTGGCTATACTCTGAGCATTTTTCATTTTTAGTCAATTACAGTAAACAACCAGTATTACTGTCCTGACTGAGCTGCACTGAAAAGGCACCTGGAGCCCTCATGGCAAGTTGTGAAATCAGATGTTTCTCCAGAAGTAACTAATAAACATCTCGGGGGTTTTAAGGCTCCACCCAGCATTCACTTTTCTCTATGCAACTTCTGTATGACAGTTCATCATGGTTTGTAGTAACTGATGGATGTAAACATATGGATACTGCTTTGGAAAGATTCATCAGAACTAAATAAACTGGCCATAAACTGGAAAACAGAAGGTTCAGCCTGAACATGAGGAAACCCTTCTTCCCTGTGAGGGTGACAGAGCACTGAACAGGCTGCCCAGGGAGGTGGTGGGGTCTCCTTCCCTGGAGACTTTCAGAAGCCGCCTGGACTTGTTCCTGTGTGATCTACTCTAGGTGATCCTGCTCTGGCAGGGGCGTTGGACTAGATGATCTCCATAGGCCCCTTCTAACCCCTTCCACTCTGGGAATCTGTAAATGAAATGCTGTTTACTACCATGAAACCACTGCTGAAATGCATACCTAGAGGTATTATACTCTACCTTGTACCTAACACAAACACACAGGCATAAATAACTCTATTCAGTAATACGGAACCTGCAACTGTCAAGAAATAATAAATCCATCATGGAAATATGGACACACTGCATTACTAGTATCAAATTTGCACCTACACGCTCCAAAACCAAAGTGTTTTATCTACCAAAAGTTATTCAACCCTTGTTATCTTGGAAAATTATTCCAGGACAATTTTTCCCCTAACTGGAAGTTAGCCAATATCTTTGGAATTAAACAATATATTGAATAACTAATTGTGGTTCATTCCTTAAGCTGTTATTTGGCATAAAATGACATTCAACACCTTAACGTTTCAAAGTACTATGGAATATGCGCTTCACTTCTCGCAAAGCAAACGGTTTGGCTCCAAACTGGTGAGTACATGTTTACGGCCTATGCCATTCTGCGTAAGTCATCAGCATTAAACCCAAACAAACGTAACAAAACCAAGTCAAACCACAAACACCTACTGGAAGCATCTGTCTCAATTGTAATGGGTATCGGCGTGCTTCAGTTTAGCCCGAGATACGCCGCTGTCTAGTTTTGCCTGGAAACTTTGCATCTGTGGCCCAGCACAAGAGTGCTGCCAGTCCTTCCATAAAATAAGACAAGTTGCTTGTAAGTAACACCAAACTTTTATTAAATTGATTTTGCTACACCCAGAAAGATCTCTCAAAAACCTCGGTGCCTTACAGAGCGTAAGAAGCAAGACAGACAATCTGCCTGTAAATATGCTTTGAGTTTACACAGCCGGGTTACCCAGAAATAAGAAATTTCAGAGTTGGCGAGCATCCGTATCACCTGAACAATCTCAAATCCTGTAAAACGTTATTCCCTTATCCATACAGGCCGTTTAATTTTACAACAGAAATTGGAATCAACACCTTGGGGAATAACTGGAAAGGACGTAACTACGCAGACAGCAAACTCGGGTGGGCGTGGATTTAAACGTGTAAGAGCCCCCTGCCTCTGCGAGGCTGCTAGTCTCCCTGCAGCTTTGTCAGCCGCCCTTTTGGGCCCCCCCGGCACGGACAGATTCCCCCCCCCCAGGGCCCGACCC